AAAGTCAAAGTAGTAGTAGTGACAATTGACGTAATAAGGAAGAGTATACAAGCTGAATAGACAAAATGAAAAAATGAAAAACTGGCAGAGCCAAAATATGATTGGGTAATACCATACTTTAGCATCGAGGGATTAAGACCGTGAAATTTGGAGGGGTTGGACGAACCTTTTCTGCACACAGAGATCTGGCTTTTCTGTTTCGATTACCAAAGCTTCAGCAATACAAATGAGTTGGATACGTAATGATTTAGGAAAACTATTTTCGCCTTGTAGATGACTTTAAAGGGGGAAGCTATCGAGATAGGGTGATCATCATCGACCAGATGCCCCAATTCCACCTCTTCCTAACCATGTAGCATAGTGTTCTTGCACCCTCTTGGACAAAACCCGAGTCGAATAATCAATATATCTGGCTCTACAAGAGAAGGTGAATTGATAAACGCACGCAGAGTTGGTCAACTATGGGATCTTGTACTTCAGGCTATTGAACAGTGGTGGTCGACTAGAAAGTGCTATTCTCAACGATGCAGAAGGGAATGTCGTTTTCAGGTCCTGTGAGATCCTTCTTTTAACGATATCGGCAGCTAATACTAATTTCATACTATTATTATGTTTTGATTTAATTCCCTCACCGGATATAACTTCTGAAAAATAATATATATATATATATATATACGATTGTACAGCTTGATGATAAATTCGTTGAAAAGAGTCTCTTCGCTGAATCACTTGTTTTGATTTCCGTATCTATATCAACAAATTAGTTTCGGTAAGCAATGATTTTTGTAATCATGATTTATAAGAAAGAAAGCTCTGCATCTTTGCAATCAGAACTATAAATACGCCTTATTCAAAAGATGAGAGAATATGAATAAGATTTGATTTTACTAAAAATAGTCAATCAACTGTAGAAACTAGCTGACTGTCAATTCCATGTAGGTTTTTAGTGGATGGATAGTAGAGACGATTTGTAGCTCAGGTGGATGATTTGCAATTAATAGTGTTCTCTGAGCTGGTCGGTTTAGTTGCGGAGCTTTCGTTGTCCTTCTGGACAACATCCTCTTTCAGCGCAATACTTGGCATAAAGTGAAATGATTTAAATTTCTTCATGAGTGATATAACTGTGTCTCTCGGTAACCATCTTTACATTTGTGTATTCATCATTTTCTATTGACTTGGATTTTAAATTTTCTGGTCACCCGATTTACTTTTTATTAGTTGGTATATTTGAAGGTAGATTGGACACTCGTGGCTGAGGAGGCCACTGGATGACATTGCGTGCGTCAGGCCATTGCTTGAGTGGAACCAGGCCGAAAGGGAAGCACGTGGCGAGTGGGACGTCAATGGAAGGGTGACATGGAGGAGATCGTGTGAAGAGGAGTTGAAAGAGTATGGACTGACATGGATGAATGTGAAAAGTACAGCAGAAGACAGAAGTGGCAAGTGGAGGCGTTCAGTTGAAGTCCTATGTTCCAGTAGGAACCCAAGGGAACAATAATAATAATAATATTTGGCCTATATTAACGCGTTTGTTAATTGCATATTCACCTGAGTACCATGCTTCTAGGAATTCCCTGACTGCATGTTTGGTTTTTCCTCTGTCTAAGATTTCGACATTATCCCAATCAAACTGATGTCCATAATTGTCTATATGCATTGATATGAGATAATATATATCGTGTCTTTTCACGGCTGATTTGTGTTCCTGGATTCTGATTCGAAGGGAACGCCCAATCTGGTCGATGTAATGCCTGTTACAGTTCATACAATTTATTTTGTAAATGGTATTAATTTTATCTCCTTTTTCTGTTGGATCTTTCGGTTTGCACCGTATTGAATTAAGCGATTTGACTGGCTGGCTTGTGTGCTATATCTATATCAAACGGTTTCAGTGTTCTAGCTGTTATTTCAGTGATATTTCTCATGTATGGTAGGATGAATTTTCTTGTGGTCTTTGATGATGGTTCCTTGTTGGTGTTGTGATTCTATTTTAAACACTTTTTGATGAAAGTTTGTGGATAACCATTCTTTTTGATAGTGATTTAGCGTAAACAAAAGCCAAACACACATCATCATGTGATATAACCTTTGAAAAGTATGTTTTGTAGTGGTCAGCAAGACTCTTCATCCTTCAAAGATATAAGCAGATTCAACCTCATGTCTGTGCTTCTTAAATAACTACATGTACTATATTAGTTATAAAGCAAGAAATGAACTCACAGTCAACTAGAAAGTTCAGTGTTGGTTTGAAATTATCCACAACACTGTTACTGTCAAAGAGTATAAATCTAAGGTGAAAGAGCTGGAAAATCCTAGTGGCATTATATATTAAACGAATAGAAACAGTACTGTTTAGGAGAGAACAAACGTTTTTAGGTTTGAGAATCACATTCAGTATGATTACAGCACGTCATCTAGTAATTAACCTTGGGAATAATTTAATTTAATATAACATTCTATTGTTATTGTTCTATTCAAGCATCGGCAGTTCATTGGCTGAATGCTCGTCAACTATGCACGTGGTCCAGTTCTTATTCCTGACTGAAATGCACTCGTAAATCTCGTCTACACTACTGGTCGACTATAAGCCTGGAAAAAGAGGAAGGTTAGAAGAAAGTCTAGTAGACACCACACTCTTAACATTGAAACTTTTAAAATCTTGAATCTCTGTTCTACTACGGGCTCAGTGGAGTAAAAACAGAAAGAAGAGTTCAAATTAGGATATAAATACTTCGGCAGCATATCCTTATCGCAATTGGTTCCTTTCCTTGACTTTTATCTGACTTTTCGACTACCAACATGTTTTCAATTTCCGACTAAATAATCTTCATGTCAATGACCAATCCACTCCTACCGTGTGATATCACCTGAATATCTCCCTAGCGTATGTCAAATCCCGCTCCAATTCCTTCCACGCATTTCTTGGACAATAAGCAGGTTTGAACAAAGCAAGAACTACAGTTTCAGCAGAATAAAATGGTACCATCTTTTATTTGGTTGCCTTCTCGTCAGCTGCTTACATGGCAAAGACATTATGAAATATATCTACAACAACAATTTTAACATACTTGCACAGAGTTAAGTTTAAACAAAAATCAATCGATCAATATACGCATACACTAAAAATATATACATATATAAATATGCAATATTAACCACTATTCCGAACAATAATAATCAAACACAATGGAAACTTTTAGCATTTCACATTCGGAGGAAAGAGAGGTGAAATTATCCAGTTACCAGGGCAAAGAAAGGCTGATAACCGCTTCTTTCTGGACGCATAAATCAGGTTTCAGGCGCTTGATGGAAATGGCTTCAGCAAACTTAAGGAGAATTGAGCTATTTTGCTTATTGATAATTTTGAACGACTATTCGACGTCCACCACATGACCCGTGTCGAGAAGATGCCTGGTGATGGCACAGGTTCATATGACTGATTCATTACTGTAGCTCCTTGTTGCCTTTTAATCCTTTTCGGCTGGTCATATGTTTCTCAGTAGTAAGTCACTGAGGGCAGCTCTTGACAAAATTGTGTGTGTAGTAGACTCTTGGAAATACTTTCTACGAGTTTGACCACGGATTGATATCAGTAAGAGAACAACTGAAAACCACCAGGGAGTACTGGACATGATGTTTCATCCTAGTTCCGGACTCATCGACAGTATACACCAACTGGGGCTCAAACAAAGGACCTTCCAGTTACAAGGCTAGCTAGCTCGTATACCACTCAGCCAGTGAGACCCGATTCAATGGCTAGCCTATGAATCCTAACGTCTACCAACTCGTGATGAATTTAGCACCACCACCAACCAATGTCGTCGGTGAGACATCCATCCTCACACTTGACTGGTTGGAACTCACTGATCATGACTTCTCACAAGAACTTTAGGAAACTGCGTCATGTGGCAAGTCACTAGCGAGCATCAGATTGATTTTCAAAAGTGTTACACGAGCTTCCCTTGTAATCAGAAGGTCCTAGGTTCGCGACCTGGCAGTGGGTGCGCACCGTCGGTGATTCCCAAATTAGGATGAAACAGCTGACCAGTACTCCAGTGCTGGTTTTCAATGGTCCTCTAATTGATATCAGTCCGTGGTCAAGCTCATAAAAACAAATTTAATCCTTACAAACCAACTCTTGGAAATGCTTTCCGTGAAGCACTCGGTGAGTCTGTGAACCATCTGAAAGCAGCGGCCCAACGTTGTCACTTGTACTATTTGTTGTAGACCTCCAAAATGATATCTGAGAAATGGATTGCTATCTCACTTTACAGATGAAAGGTTGTTTTATATTCAGGTAGCTTATCAAACCTACTGATTTGTTATAAATTGTCGCATTACTCTTCCCATATGATATTATACTGTGGTGAGAGCTGTCTGCAAGCCAAAATTATAGACAACAATTTACGTCAATGTTTACGTCCCGAATCAAAATCACGAGAAAAAAAACAATAACAAAGCTTAAACTTGAGAAACTCACCTACCAATCACAGAATACAATTCGCAGATATATATCTTAACTTTCTAAGAAATAGTCACAATCAGTAAAGAATAACGTTCAGCAAGAAGACAACCAATCAGAAGACGTTGCTTTTCTTCTAACAATAAACGCTAATAATTAATGCACATAAAAATCTATAAATATTTCTTGATTTTCTGTATAAATGATCTGTTGCCTAACCCTTGTTTTCTGTGGTTACAATACCACCTTCTGAGTGTGTGTGTGTTTGCGTATGTCATGAGCGTCAGTGGCAAGGCGGTTAACACTGTCGCCGACCATGCACATAATGCGGACGGAGTTCAATCCCTTGCCGATGCACACCTGATATCAATGGCTGACCTGTAAAATTTCGGCTACTGATATCAATCACATGCTGCAAAATTCCATACCACTTGTACCAAAAATACTGTATACGTTGAAGCTGCAATCAATTTTAAAAAAATATTTATCTCTGTGACTACTTTTTTCTCCTCCCCTTTTTTTTTTGCTAATTTCAAAGGATTTAGATTCTAATAATGGTTTATCATCACCGCGTCAATCATTGCCAAACAATTCTTTGAATGTCATCTCTGTAAGAGAAAAGAAAGGAAGAAACCAGTAAGATTCATTCTGTAATAAAATATCATTCGTGCTTTTTAAATTTTTTTTATTTTCACTCTTCTTTATGCATAACTAGTTGTTCTAATGTGATGTAAATTAGACAAATGTATTTTATCAGCGGTTCACTAACAATCATTGGTGATCCTTTTGCAGGGGTCAAGTTCCATCCTCCTCCCATTGTCAAAAGTGATATGAACGATAAGGCTACTGGGTTAGCTAATATCGCTAAATTTGATATGTGTTGATATGCCTAAAACCATATCATGAACTGGTCATTAAATTGGTTCCCAGTGGGTTTTGGGTTCGAAACTCAGTAGGCGAGTGTTGTTAAAGAGTCCCAAAGCCAAGACGAAACAGTTAGCTGTCCATCTGGTTTTCCCAATGGTCCTCTAATCGATGTCAGTTCGTAGGGAAGTCTTGAAACCAATCAAGTCCCTGCAAACCTACACTTATTATTATTATATCCTTTAATTCCTAGAGGAACATAGGGCTTCAGCTACGCACCTCCATTGCATTCTGTTTTCTGCTAACTTTTTCACCCCGCTCCAATCTGCTCACATGCTTTCATCTCCTCTTCACATGACCTCCTTCAAGTCACCCTTGCACTGACAAACAACTCGCCGCTTCCCCTCCGGGTTACACTCGAGCAATGGCTTGTCTAGTGATGTCACTTGATGGTTTCCTCAGAGTATGGCCAGCCAATCCATCTCCATTTCCTCCCGCCTATTTGTTTCACAATCGGTTCCTGCTGTGTTGGTTCGCTCATTGCCAGAAATCCCTGTTGTTGATCTTTTCTGGCTGGCCATCTGATCTTGAGTATTGAGCGAAGACAACTGTTGATGAAGGTCTGAAGTTTGTTTGAGATGCTCTTTATGACCCGCCAAGTCTCTGATCCGTATAGTAGCACTGGCTTTACATTGGAGTTGAAAATCCGGATCTTATTTTTGATGGTGAGGGCTGTTGACCTACACACAGACTTAAGCGTAATGAAAGCTTATCTTGGTTTTCCGATTCTAGCTTCGATATCCTCGTCAGTTCCGCCCGTAGTTGAAACCATGCTTCCCAGGTAGCAAACCTACACTTAAATATCAATGATACCGTTGTGACTAAGGTTCTCTGTGGGAAGACAATAAATAACTTATCTGAAGTCCGAATATCAAATAGTGATCACGTAAATAGCTGGCTGAGTTTCGACAGAGACCTTTGTACCGAAGTGTACCATTTCACGTTGCCACACTCCATGTAGCCCATGAAAGTAGGGAAAAGAAAGAAAAATGCGACTCAGATGCTTAATAAGCTGAAATGTGTGGGGTGGGGGGCAAGGACATTAACAGTGAAAACCATGACAATTTGTTAGAGATCACAAAGAGCGACTGCATCTGCACTAAGTGACAATGATTTTCAGCCATATGACAAATAGCCTGTAGCCATTGTTTTCTTTAGCATCACAAGGAACTCGATCAGTCAGTCTACACCTCCGGACATGGCTTGAACCGACTGTCAAAGACTTGACGGATCGATACCAGGTCTTGGTCTGACAACCCTCAACTCTTCTCTTTAAACTTATATCAACTGACATTCTTATCTGAAAAGCGCGATACATGTCCCAGCCATCTCAATCGGTGTGGGTTCCCTAACTCATAGAATAATTCCCCTTCCTTATACCTCCTTTAACGTCTAACCTTAGCGAAGTTCCTTGTATCACGCCAGTTTAAAACGGAGGTAGAATGTAATTCACACATATAAAGTCAAAAGACAGACTAATTTAGGCTGTTGAGAACAGTAGACTTTCTGATACAAAACAGACTATGTATAAATATCACCAACCTAGAAAAAAGCCAATAAATAACTAAATAAATTAAATGTACAAGGTGAGACTTCAACGGTATCCAATCACAGTATGATAATTCTTCAGTCTTAACCCAAGGATTTAATTTATCACTTATGTTTTGAGTCGGTTAAGCTATTGAAATGTACAGTTTGAATGGCAACAGTTCCACCTTGTAACCATTACAAAGTCCTTAGATGAGTCTATGGTTAGGTCTAGCATGGAATCCTATGAACACCTACAATCTTGGAATCAATGACTATTCACTGCTCTGAAGTTTTCAACAACTTTCTATCTGACCTAATAGTTTTAGTAGTTAAATCTACGTTAAGTACTAACTTTATCTTTGTCTGTTGGCATAAAAACAGATAAGTCACTTCCTTGGTTACAAGTCATCTTTCAGGAACCTTAGTACATAGATGTCTCACTTTGTTGAAACAGTATAAATATATATGTATGTATATATATGTCATCCCAAAGAAGCACTGTTACAGAAGTTAAAGTTGTCATGAAGTACTAATTTTAAAAATAAAAGATCATCTGATATGAGTATATTTCCAGACCGTACCGAATACAAATTTTTGATGTTTAACAATAGTTAAAAGACTATCTATCTTCTGGACCAGATGGGATACCCCCTGAAGTACTGAAAGCGGACCCAGAGACTACAGCAGACATGCTGACTCCACTATTGCAAAAGGTCTGGAAGGGGGGAAAAGTGCCTACTGACTGGAGGAAAGGTTACCTCGTGAAACTACCAAAGAAGGGCGACTTAGGACTCTGCAAGAACTGGCGAGGAATCATGCTCCTATCGACGCCAAGTAAAATCCTGAGTCGCATCATCCTGGAGAGATTAAAGGACGCACTGGAGACAGAACTCCGACTAGAACAAGCTGGATTCAGGAAAGTCAGGCAAATCACGTACTGACCAAATTGCAACTCTACGCATCATCATCACAGAACAAAGCATGGAATGGCAATCAAACCTCTACCTCAACTTTATAGACTTCGAGGAGGCCTTCGACAGTTAGCGTTGACCGCGAAGTACTTTGGAAATTACTCAAATATTACGGCGTACCCCAAGTATTCATCAACCTTATTCGGGCTGACTGGATTATGCGTCAGACAGTGAGTGAGAAACGAGAAGATAGGGATATTCTGGACCGACGTGAAGAACCTAGAAGACCTAGATTTCGCGCGTGGATCATTCATGTTTGATGTCACACAAAATTGAAGACTTACAAGCGAAAACCGACAAACTGGTCGAAGAATCAGCCGGCGAAGACAGGACTCCAGGTGAACATAGACAAGACGGAGGTTATGAAAATAACCAACCAACCAACAACAACAGCAGAAACATCCAGCGTCAATCACCATAAACGGGAGGGATTTGAAAGTGGTTACTTCATTCATTCACTTATCTAGCATTGAGCATTTTCTCAACTACACGCAGTCGGAACGGACGAGGATGTCAAATCGAGCGAGAATCGAGAAGGCGAGAAACCTGAAACCAATCTGGAAATCTTCGTCACTCAGCCAGCATCAAAAAAATTCAGTTGGATTTTCAATACAAACAACGTAAAGTCAGTCAGCTGTTTCATACGGATCAGAAACTTGGCGGACGGGTCACAAAGAATATTTCCAACAGCCCGTTGCAGACGTTACCTTTATCAACCAACCACTGTCTTCGCTGGATCTATACTGGAGATCAGATGGCCGGGCGGGAAAGAATCACCAACAAGAAACTATGGGCACAATCAAACAAAACAAGAACCAGCCAGTCGCTCGACAAATATGCAGGAGAAAGTGGATGGAGATGGATTGAACACTCACTCACTGAGGCGGCCACTGGGTGACATCGCGTGCGCATCGGGCCATTGCTCAAGTGGAACCAGGCCGAAAGGGAAGCACGTAGCGAGTGGGACGTCAGTGCAAGGCTGACATGGAGGAGATGGTGTGAAGAAAAGTTGAAAGAGTATGGTCTAATATGGATGCAGGTGAAAAGTAGAGCAGAAGGAAGACAGAAGTGGCAAGTGGAGACGTGGAGTTGAAGCCCTATGTTCCATTAGGAACCCAAGGGAACAATAACAAACAATAATATGTTCTGGATCGAGCACTAGTCAATGACTAGTGTAATGTGTCAAGTCCTTTGTTTTGGTGCAGACTAAATTCTATCAGCCAAGTTCGCAATGTGTTCAGCACTCTGGTTGACTGACCATCATGGTGCACTTTAAATTGTTGATAATGAACGGTTGGTGGCAATCAGCAGGAAGCCTTTGACCTAGGTTTCGTGCTATTTGGCACTCACCAGTCGGTAGAGCATGTCTGCAAACGTAAAGGAATTCATTTCCCTTCTGAGATTCAAACCCGCACCACCAAGTGCTGCAGTCAGAGATGTTACCACTAGCCAGTGAATAGTGCGCGACTGAACTGTCTCAGGCAGTCCTACCCGAGGTCAATCGACGGCCTGAATAGCTCAGTGGCAACACCTCCGACTACAGCACTAGGTGACGCAGATTCGAATCCCTAAACGGATATGATTTCCTTGGAGATCGCAGATACGCCTTGCTGACTGACTGGTGAGTGCGAACTAACACGAAACCTAGATCGAAGGCTTCCTAACGATCGCCCCCAACAATCATGTATCAACAAGAATATCTGTGCGTGTATCTGTTTGGTTGTCCAATTGTTTTTCTCAATATGTCACTTATATTCACTAACTATGTAGCTAATATGGAAGCTTGTTTTAATGGAAGAGCAAAGCATTCTGTAAAACTGTAATGTTGATATAAAGTATAAGATAATTCTTAAGAAACTACACTAGGACTCAATTCATACTGGCAACAGTGTGATGGTGTGATACTGACAATGGGCTTCAACTAAATATTATTCTCACCGTAGGCATCATTGTATTTGTTTGTGTTAACGTCTGCATACTATTCACACAGTTCAATATTGCATTAGTAGGAGAATGCTATACGTAAATGAACATTCCATTTTCATGTCGTTTAACGTGAACCAACAAAATCACACACTCAGTGATTGGTTAACGAATATAAGATATTTAGGTATAAATAGCTGTTTGATCGATTGAAAATACACCTTGGCATCTGTTTCTTCCCTTCTGCTAATACAGCAGTACGAACTATTGAGTTTTTGAGGTACACTG